ATATATATACTGTAGATATATGATTGTTTCAGAAGAGTATAAACAAAGTATTATGTGAGTGAAGCATCATAATTCACATTATTGTTTTCCGTTTTTCTTTTTTTGTGATCTACTTCTGCACGCATTTTGCTATTTTAGCTATTCAGATTTTAAAAACCATTCACTTTTAAAACTGTTTACTCACAAGACTGAACAATGTGACTTTTTGGGTTTAGTAATATTTTGATTTTTCAGAATATGAATGTTCCTAATTTACTTTCCTTGTAGAAATGCATCAAAATCTCTTGAAATCCTTTAAAACTTTGCTCTCTTTCGGCAGTATTTAGCTAGCCTTTAGCAACTTGTAGCTTTTAGCCAACTGTTTGCTATTTCTGGCTCCCGGCTAGCATTTTTGTTTTTAAATGTTCAGCTAGTCTTTTACTAGCCTTTCCACACATCAAATCTTTAAGTAGTGCTCTGCTATATATATATATTTAGCTTTAACACATCACTTTCTGCTTTTAAAACAAATTATAGGAAAGTCATTCAACAGTCTTCACTGACTGTTTTGCAGAAGTTTGCACTTCTGTTGTTTCAAATACATTTTTATTTCATTATACAGTGTAATACAAAACAATACCAAAGCGTTTTTATTTACAAATGTACAAAAGTCAACATTATATTACATATTTTGGCTATAAACAAAAAGAAAATCTTTGTTCAGAGTTACTCATTCAATACAAAAATATGAATGTCTTATATAAATTATTGCACTTTGCAGCTGCAGTGCATTAAAGGATTGCCATCGCCATAAAAATATACGTGTTCACCTGAAGATTGATTGTGGAAGAGACGTTTCACCAATAACTTTATGGCACTTTTTCTTTTTCACCTTTTTATTTTCCAAACCATTTTTCTTAATCTTTGGTACCTTTATTGCTTTTAAAAGAAAATCTTTTAAGTTTCTGAGCACCATTCTGCGTTCACTAACCCTGTACCTGAAAAAGATGGCATTGCAGGTGAAACTGGAATATAAATATTGTTAATACAGTATTTGAAACAGTGTGTAGTTAACATGGCGTGTCGCTGGTAAAGAAGGCCTCTGGAGATGTTTTCTCTGTTGCTCCTGGTTTCCCTGACATTTCCAGTACAAAAAAAAAAAAAAAAAAAAACTGCTGGCACCTGGTCCTCCAAGTTTTGTCGGTTAAATTCCAGTTTTGGTCCCTTTTCATAAAAAAGTTTTACAACCCTGGCTGAGAGGTTTTGTCGAGTCACTTGCACCGTGTGCAAATGATCAGTCTTGAGAAGAAAAGACTCCTAAAAGGAGAAATGCTCTTTTCGCCATGAACACCACAGCTTGTCTTGCTGCTTGACGCCAGCTTGAAGGCAAGTTAAAAAAAAAAACGTGTTGAGGAGGAGTTTGTTCAGGGTTCCATAAAAACATATATAAACTCTTTTTTTGTTTGTTTGTTTGTTTCCCCACCATCGAAGCCTTCAGCATTTTGTCAACTTGTCCTTCTCCGACAAAGTCTCATAAGTGTCTCTTCATGTGGAGAGCAAGGTGGTCCGACCTGGAAAAGGCCCGGTCGCATTTCTGACACTGAAACGGCCGATGACCCGTGTGTTTCCTGTAGTGGCGAGTGAGCTCATCCGAACGTGCAAACTTCCAGCCGCAGCCCTCCCAGTCGCAGTGGTAAGGCTTCTCCCCTTTGGTTAAAAAAAACAAACACACAAAACGCACATGGAACAGTTAGTTTCAACCTAAAGGTTAAAATGCCCTTTGCTTTCCCACCTCCAGGAGAGAAAGAAGTCCATCCTGTCTGGCAGCTTATGCGCAAAAAATGGCCAAAGCCTTTAGGGTTTGTGTTTGAGCAGGGATCAGTGACAACCTGTTTTACTGCACCTGCCAAACAGTTGCCCTGTACTCCATCCCCCACCCAGCTAACCTCCATTATGAGTCAACAATGCGACGTGTTTGTTCAGAATGTGCAACTCACTAGGCCGTTTCTGTTTATTGACAGTGACAACACGAAGCCGGACCGCTTTGGGAAACTGACGAGAACAGTCGGCGGAGGCGCCAGAGAGGAAACACTGTACGGGGCTGCGTACCTGTGTGCGTGCGGTGATGCGCTTTCAGGTGGGAGCTCTTCGTGTACGTTTTCCCGCAGCCAACGTAGTCGCACGTGTGCGTCGCCACCCTTTTCCTCGGCCAGGAGCGTCTCCCGCGCTTGGGCTTGGGCTCCTCTGGCAGGCAGTCGCCGCTGGAGATCATGAGGGCCTCTGCAGAGTGAAACAGATCCATCAGCAGTGTACTTTTAACCACTCTATTGTGTAAATAAAACACAACTCATCCACATCTCTGCCAGAACTATAACGCCTGTTTTGTAGCACCCTTATTAAAACCATCGTAAAGATGAGCTAAGGGAGTTTTAAACTATAAAAGCAGCTCGTTTTATTGGTCATGTTTTATATTTAGTTGAACTATTGTTAATAAATCTCAATCTAGATGGAGTTCCCACCTTTAGAACTGCTGGTTTCTCTAAACAGGTAAAGCTTTACTAGCTCAACTTTTGTCGAATCTGTTCGGTTGTCAACCCGTATATTTTATTTATTGAAGCAATCTTAACGATTTTTCACTTGTAAAGATTACAGGGAAGTGTAAAAGTAGAATTCATCAAAGTGAGAATGACCTGGGTACTGCATGGACGATGTCTGAGGGTAGGAGGGGTAGCCTTGATTGGTGCCGTGGTGGTACCCCTGTGGAGGTAGAGGGATCTGAGAGATGGGAGGATTGCCCAGTTGGTGGTCCCGGCTGAGGGGATGGTCCGGAGACAGGGACGAGGATGAGGATAGCCTGCTGCCCGCCATGGACCGCCCTCCGCCTGGGAACCCGTGCAGCTCCAAGTGGCTGGGCCGCTGCTGCTGCTGGGCTCCCCGGCCTTGTGAGTTGACCCCCGCCAGGTGGAGGTCCATGGGCTGCGAGATGGTGCAGTTACCAGGGTTCTCCTGTTTTATCCTGTGGCACGCGAAGGACGGCGAAACGCGGGACGGCGCCGGGTCCGACGCTGCGCCGACGCAGGCCTTGCTCACGTTCATGCCCGGGCCGTACTCCCCCATGTCCATCGTCGTCTTGACCACAAACTTGCCGTGCAGGCTGGTGGGCTGGAGGTACGCGGGGTCCAGCTCCGGTCTCATGAGCTCCGCCACGAAGCCGCCGGAGGGCGAGACGTCGCTGATGTCTGGGATGGTGTAAAGCAGCTCGCTGGCGGTGTCTTGCGGGGAGGGGAGTTGGTAGGACGAGGTGAAGGAGCCGGGGGAGGAAGACATGGCCTGAGCAGAGCTGCAGGCCATGGCGTCCTCCTGCTGCTGCTGTTGTTGCTGCTGCTGCTGCAGAATGGAGTTGGACAGAATAAAGTCGTAGTCTAAGTCCAGGTCTGGCTCCGCGTCCTTCTTGGACATGCTGATGCTTGTTACGCTGATGGCAGTGGGGTGCTCTGGGTCGGAGCAGATGCTTCCTGCTGGCACGCTGGATCTCTTAAGATGGGACAGCTCCTCCTTCCATTTCTAGAGAGTGAAAATAAAAGCATAAATGACCTGTTTGTGTCAAAAACAAAACCTCCCAAAAAAAAAAAAAAAAAAAAACACTTTTCCCCTCTTCTCCTACTTGGGGAAAACGTAAAAACAAGCAGAAGACTCGACAGCTCCGCTTAGGAAACTTACTCAGGTGTGGAAAAGTTCCTTGAAACACTGAGCGGCATAGGTAAGCATAGCTGGACCTTAAAGAGATGCTCGCCGCCAATGCATGCAGAATCTAATAAAAATACAAGACTAATCAGATTTGGCATCAGCATTCTGTCCCGCTTCAGTGCAGTATCCCTGAATCCCTGCTGGGCTGAGTAAACTGGTGCACGCCCCAGCAGCAGAGCCTGGTGTCAAGCTCTGACTGCAATAATAACACGGGGAGCTTCGCTGGAAAACAAACACCCTCTAAATAGACTCCATGCCCCCCCACTCCTCCTCCTCCTCCTTCTCCTCTTAAACAGATTCTTTGATGCCCACGGCTGCAGTAAGAGGTGACCACAGACTACTCACTGGATAGGCACTTCCTACGGGTCTGCTCCTGTCAGTGAGGTCGCTGGTGAACGTGGATATAGACGGGAGAAGAGTTCCACACGCCATCTCGACTTCATTTGGAGGCTGCCTGAAAATTACACACAAGAAAAAAAAATAGATATAAAAAAATAAATCAATAAATCCACGCAAGAGTGATCCAGGAGAAAATAATCCACTTTAAAAGTTTCACCTCATCAGTTAGAGCACGAATCCGTTCAATGCCAGTGTTTTTTTTCCTCCAAGTTTCTCTCTTTTTGGTGAAATAAATCCCCCTCTTACAGTCTCTGCTTCTGCTTCCAAGACATGCCAGTAAATAATTAATAATAATTAAAAAAAAAAAAGAATTAATAATAAAATAAAACTAGTTTGAGTGGATGGGGGGGAAAAGAGAGACAGAGAGGCGACGAACAGGGGAATCCCTCCCGCCTGTTGCCGTGTTGGGACCCGGCGGCAGTCTGAGCTGAGTGAGGACACCGCGTGAGAGAGGTATCCTTAAATCACGGGGAAACGCCTTCCGTCGCCTAGCAGCAGGCACGGGAAAACATGAGCGCGAGAGGAGGGAGGAGCCAGAGGAGGGGCAAGGAGGAGGAGAGACTGGGGGGAGGAGAGGAGAGCGAGGCAGAAAGAGAAAGAAAGAGAGAGAGAGAGCAGAAAGTTTTGTTTGTGTTCATAGCAACAGCAGCTTTCTGCTTTTACTCGTGCCAATTGTTCTTTAAGCACCTTTTAATTGACGCACACACAGACTGGCGCAGTTAGTTTAATTGCTTTAACTAAAACAATGAGTCTAATTTAATGCGTGGGGCTGCACCTGTAGGCAGGGCCAGCCCAAGGCTGTGTGGGGCCACGAGCAGAGT